TCAAAAAAACAGTATTTTACAATATGAACATTTTCGAACCTCACATAGGAAGAGAACAACATTGTTAACATCCATGTACCCATTACCCCAACACAACAATTATCCAGATTATGCCAGACCACCTACTTCATCTATCTCATCTCCCTCCATCGCTTTCTTTTGGTTTTTATCTGGTATCTGTTTAAAATATCAGACATTGCTGGGCACAGTGGCTCATGCCTGTAATTCCAGCACTTTCAGAGGCCAAGGTGGGTGGATCACCTGAGGTCAGGAGTTTGAGACCAGCCTGACTAACATGGTGAAACCCCATTTCTACTAAAAATACAAAAAATTAGCCAGGAGTGGTGGCGTGTGCCTATAATCCCAGCTTCTCTGGAGGCTGAGGCAGGAGAATTGCTTGAACCCAGAAAGTAGAGTTTGCAGTGAGCCCAGATCACGCCATTGCACTCTAGCTTGGGCAACAAGAGCGAAACTCTGTCTCAAAAAATAATAATAAAATAAAATGCCAGACATCTGCAAGTTTTGTCCTTCATTCCTCAGTCTCTAAAACTAAAAAAAAAAAAAAAAAGTCGTTATTTTCTTACATAAACATAATGCCATTTCAGCCCTAAGAAAATTACAGTAACTCCTTGATATCATCTAATACCCATCCATATTCAGATGTCCCCTAGTGTTTCAAAAATGACTTTCTATTATTGGTTTGAGTCAGGATTTAAACAACACCAACATATTGCATTTGGTTACTACACATAAAATAATTTTTATCTTTCTGTCTACATCATCTGGCAGCAAATATGAAAAGCTTAATAGACAAACCAAACAATTAATTTATATTTGTAGATTCTCTAGACTCAAACCTCATCCAATGTATCTGCTGTTCCTGCTATCTGTAGCAGTCTTCCTCCAAATCGTCACTATGGCTGATTTTTTTCTAGTCAATGAAGTCACAAGCCAAATTACCCTCAAAAAAGGCCCTCCCTGCCAGACGTGGTGGCTCACACCTGTAATCCCAGCACTTTGGAGGACCAAGGTGGGCACGAAGTCAGGAGATGGAGACCATCCTGGTCAACATGGTGAAACCCCATCTCTTTG